ATGTTCACTGTGAATGAATCACACAACTGTAATATGTTTTCTGTTGAATGTAGTACTAAAACAATACAATAATAGCATTACAATACAAATTTCACCAAAATACAATTTAAGAAGTTATAATATAATGTTATACATATATATAACATGCCAAATATATGGATTATTTGTATTATGTAAAGAATCATAAAGTCACATAATTTTAATATTTGCATGTCTGGAAAAATGGACAAATGGGTTCATTCATATTGACTACAACTGCTAGTACCATTTTTTATGAACTTGTGTATAATTTTGCTTTAGATTTTTATTTGTAAAATACTTGTAAATGTAGTGTAAATGTCTTCTGTGTTGTTATTGCTTTACCTATCTGCATTTTGTTATTTTATATGAGTCCATTAAAAGTATAACATCTTTCATGACTACAACAAAACTGTTTGAAAATCAGATGAAAATTGAGCATTGTGGTTATTTTAATAGTAAATGTATCATTCATATTCATGTTAAGAGTGGGCGTGCTCCCTGTGGCAAGATGGCCGCCATGTGACGATGTCAGTCTCCATTGGCCAACGGTGCGGACAAGTTATCTAATCTTTGCTTCAGGCCCTGCGGCTTCCAGACCGGTTCATTCTAGTTTAATAGAGGGGGCTATGGTTAACTCACTGCACAGAAGTGTTTTATTTACAAATGAATTAAAAGATGTCAGCAATGGAAGTTACTGTCCTTACATCAGTCTTTTTCAGGTGCATAAGAAGCATTAAAGGGGCAATATCATGTAAAATCAACTTTTTTGAGTTTTATATCATGTTATAATGTTATACTCTCATAAAAAACATGCCCAAAGCTTTACTTTGACTCATTCATGTATGTTTGAGAAATCCTGCAGTGTTTTTAGGCAGCAATGCTGAGGAGCAAAACGACAGGTGGGGACCAGAAACACCTTTTGGCACCAGAAACGCTCCTGGGACGTGTCTTTAAGCCGAACTTCCTTATGACGGAGCACACCTCCCCACCCCCACCCCACACACCCCACCCATGACTCCTGCAGGCTCTCGGCAGTAACAAAGCAAACGAGTGAAAGTGAAACTTAAACTGCTGAGCTCCACTATTTCTCACTCAGTGAAGCTCTTTTCAGATTCAAAATACCTTTGAGGAAAAGGTATTTTCAGATGCCAAGTAAATTGCATCATAGCGCACGCGCGAACCCCCCCAGCACCCAAATAGACAGGGCAGAAGCGGCAGGTGGTTCTTAAAGAGACAGAGGCCAATTTCAAGGCGTTTAGAAGAGAAAGTGATGAAAAGGTAAGTTTATTTTCTATTTAAACATAAAAACTGCATTTTATTTACAGCTAAAGGTGACATTGATACTTTATTATGGTTTAGTATTTAAATGTATGCCTGAGAAACACATAATATTGGCCCTTTAATATTGGTGGAGACACATTGGTGGGAGGTTTGAGGGTCTGTCCCCAGAAAGTTTTGAATGAAGCAGATGTCCTGCATTCTGATGTATTTTGACAAGATGGTAAATATATACTACATAAATAACACTTAGTATGAGCATTCTCCTATCAGCCAAGTGAAATTAATTGGTTTGTGAGGGGGGCACTTCCCCTTTACTGCTAATTACTGTGACAGCTATGGCTAATTGTCCAATTCTCTAAAAAAATAAAATGTAGACTACATATTTAATTTGAAGGTAAACATTTCAAAAACATTTACAAGGAACAAGCTTCCTCAACCACAACCTTTTCTACGTATTTGTTAAGCTATTTTATTTGCTTGTTGATGTATAGACTACTTTTGTGATAAAACAAACTGCAATTATAAATACCCAAATCTGGAAATAAAAAGACTTAAAAAAGCACAATTACAAACTAATGACTGACTTATAGAAAAGTTGATAAACAGTAATGTAGACCAGCTTGAGCCCTAACTTGAATAACACAGGGACTTAAAAATGGATCCTCTAATGGTCTCCATTCAACCAGACTGAGCTTGAGAGGATTTGCAGCCTACATGCAGCCCAGCAGGGAAGGCTATAAGTCGTTCACCTGGAATGTTTACTCTCCAAATAGACACACATTTCACTGACTATTGCACAAAATCAGCTACTTTAATCACCCAGCAGAGCAGATTGAAATGAGTCATCACCTTCTTCAGGCAAACTCTGGATCACTTGAACGGCGGCGGCAAATTTCTCCTCCAGGCTGTGTTCGTCCTCCTCCTGCCACATGCCGTAGCCTATACTGAGGGAAAAAACAGCCAATTATTGAATAAACCCGGTTCCTGCTTGCAGAAAGTCAATCTCTCCGGTTGAGGATGAGCTGAATAGCGTTTTGATCCGCAAGGAACTATGGGAGAGATAGTTTTTATTGCCCCTGATGTTGATGAAAAGAGGCTCATAGCCCTTCAAAACCCATAAGCGCTCCTGAACGGGGATTTAAACCTCTGAGGCTCATGGGAAACGTAGGCCGAATGGTTTCCGTCTGTGCACCAAAAAGGTAAAATTTTGTCTGCATATATTTAATTTCTTAAAAACGATTGATATTAGAGTTTAAAGTCTACTCAAGGTAAATGTGAAATTTGCAATTAAGCACCTATGTTTTTCCCCTTCACACACATTAAAAA